AATAATTATTTAATTCAAATATATTTAAACGTATATTCAAAAAAGGTAATATAAGGCACAAAGAATTAAATTTAGGAAATTAAAAAAATTTAAAGTTAAATAAAAATTTTTAATTTAAATTAAAAAATAAAAGTAAAAATAAAAGTAAAAAAAATGTAATGTACAAAAAATACTTAGCGCTGTTTTTGTATTGTTATTTTAACACATTAGTAAATAAAATAAAATATAAATCAAAGTATAGACTAATTTTTTTACTGCAATACGCTTCAATAGAAATCTATAAACATATTACGTGGCTCGATATTCGAATGACATGTGGCTAGCTGAACATATCGATATACATGTATGAAATATATGTATATAATGTAACATGCAATAATTGTCATATTAAACAGATTCAACGATTGGGCAATGTGAATGGGCTAAGTGAAAATTATAAAATGAATTTACTATACATTAATATATGCTAAAGACGTATACATATACATATATATGTTATTAATATATATACCAGGGTTGGGAAGTAACGAGTTACTTGTAACGAAGTTACAGTTACAGTTACTTTTTTTCGGTAACTATAACTTAACTTCGTTACTTTTTTCCATCTGTAACTGTAACTGTAACTTAGTTACATTTTTTTAGTAACTAGTAACTATTTTAATAGTTACTTTATTAGTTACTTTTTTTGGAAACATGCGCTAAAAGTATTGTTTAAGTATGGTAGCCGTTATATTATTAAATTAAATTTTGATAACAGTAGCATATGGATCTTCATATGATTTAATCTTTACCTAAAATTTTCATTTTGTGTACATAAAATAATATAACACATAATTAAGATCGACCAATCACAGTCAAATATTTAAAAAATTCTTAAAGTAATAATTGATCGATTTGCTTGCGACTTTGCGATTACCATTTAGTAACTTACTATAACTATTTTTACTGTTGTATATAAAGATCATTCATACATTGATGTTAATTGCAAAGTCGCAAGCAAATCGATCAATATTACATTCAAGAATTTTTTTAAATACTTGACTGTAATTGTGTGCATAAAATGTAAGCTCCTTATATTTAAAACAATGTATAATTATTTTTAAAAAGTAACTGAAAAGTAACGACTCGTTACTTTTAGAGTAACTGTAACTGTAACAAGTTATTTTTTAAAATCGGTAACTTGTAACTGTAACTAGTTATTTTTCAATGAAATAACTGTAACTGTAACTAGTTACTTTTACAAAGTAACTTTCCCAACCCTGATGTATACATATATTAATTAATGTATATGGAGCATTTCAAAGTGTTTAATTGATCAATCAAAATATAAATGAATAAAAATTTCTTTATCCTGATACATGTTTTAAAGCATTTGCAATGTTTTCCTGATCGCAATCAAAGTTTCGAGATAGATGTTTAAAGCGCATTATTTTCATTATGATTTTTTTATAAAAAAGATTCAAATATAATTTCATGATTCTTTAATTTCGACTTATTTTGACTTCATCATTTCACTCTCCAAAGATAGGATGCGACTTCTGTGTGTGATATATTCTGTATATACACATTTCGTTACTAATCATCATTTTTAAGGACGTTTCGTAGTCAAGGGCTATAATACAAAAACAGCGCTAAGTATTTTTTGTACATTACATTTTTTTTACTTTTATTTTTACTTTATTTTTTAATTAAATTAAAAATTTTTATTTAACTTTAATTTTTTTAATTTCCTAAATTTAATTCTTTGTGCCTTATATTACCTTTTTTGAATATACGTTTAAATATATTTGAATTAAATAATTATTTAGAGATAAATAATTTATTTTTTATATATATCTATTTATCTAAATATTTTATAAAATATATAATAACTTTACAATGTATATACATTCCAGTTTAAATTAATTACATAATTATTCATGTTATTTAAATATAAAGATGAATAAATATATATATATATATTTTACTGAATTTATTTTGTTATTGTATATATTATAAACGTTTTAAAATAAAGCAATAATTATACATTTGTATCATTATAAGAAATTTATCTAAATATTATATATTATGTTGTCACTTACTTAGTGCAACTTTTTGATTTGACTACTTTTTGATGCTAATATTTTAACTTTTTTCTCGTATTATCAATATAATTATTTAGCGCAATTTTTTGATTTCACTACTTTTTGATGCTAATATTTTAATTTTTTTCTAGTATTATTAACAAAATAAAATATAATTTATAAATATAATTTTTGAGAAAATATTTTTGATAATGATTAATTTTTGCAAAGAATTATTTTGGCTATAAACATAATTTTTGAGAAGATTATATTTTTATTATATAAAGAACTATTTTTGCTGACGAAAGATATAACTTAGCGCTTTTTTTTTACATCTGTGATGTCTTTTTTGTGGAATTTCACATATTTTTGCAAAGATCATTAAACAAAATGCATTAAATAAATGTATATTTTTTTATATTTATAATGAGAAGACGAGAGAGAGCAAGAGGACCCAAGAGAGAGAGCGGGAGGAGCAAGAGGGAGCAAGGGAGCAAGAGAGGCGAGAGAAAGCGGGAGAGAGCAAGAGAGAGCGAGAGAGAGCGAGAGAGAGCGATAGAGAGCGATAGAAAGCGGGAGAGAGCGAGAGAGAGCGATAGAGAGCGATAGAAAGCGGGAGAGAGCGAGAGAGAGCGGAAAAAAACAGAGAGAGAACGAAAGAGAACGAGAGAGCGGGAGAGAACAAAAGAAGGCGAGAAACAGCGAGAGAAAGCGAGAAGAGCGAGAAAAACCGAGAAAGAGCGAGAGAAGACAAGAGAGAGCAAGAGAACGCGAGAGAGAAGCGGGAGAGAGCGAGAAAACGCGAGAGAGAGCGGAGAGAGCGAGAGAACGCGAGAGAGAGCGGAAGAGAACGAGAGAACGCGAGAGAGAGCGGGAAAAGCGAGAGAACGCGAGCGAAAGCGGGAGAGAGCGAAAGAACGCGAGAGAGAGCGAAAGAAAGCGAGAGAGAGCGAGAGTAAGCGAAAAAAACCGAGAAAGAGCGAGAGAAGACGAGAGAGAGCGAGAGAGAGCGAGAGAAAGCGAGAGAAGGCGATAGAGAGCGAGAAAGCGATAGAGAGCGGGAGAAGCGAGAGAGCGAAAGAGAGCGAGAGAGAGCGAGAGAGAACGAGAGAGAGCGGGAGAGGACGAGAGAAGCGAGAAACAGCGAGAGAAAGCGAGAGAGCGGGAGAACGCGAGAGAGTGCGGGAGAGAGCGGAAAAGAGCAAGAGAGAGCGAGAGAGAGCGAGAGAGGGCGAGAGAGGGCGAGAGAGAGCGAGAGAACGGGAGAGACGAGAGAAGGCGAGAAACAGCGGAGAAAGCGAGAGAGAGCGAAAAAAAAACCGAGAGAGAGCGAGAGAAGACGAGAGAGAGCGAGAGAACGCGAGAGAGAGCGGCAGAGAGCAAGAGGGAGCGAGAGACAGCGAGAGAGGGCGAGAGAGAGCGAGAGAGAGCGATACAAAGCGGAGAGAGCGAGAGAAGCGAAGAAAGCGAGAGAGACGGGAGAAACGAGGAGAGAGCGAGAAACAGCGAGAAAGCGAAAAAAACCGAGAGAGAGTGAGAGAAGACGAGAGTGAGCGAGAGAGAGCGAGAGAGGCCGATAGAACGCGAGAGATAAGCGGCAGAGATCAAGAGGGAGCGAGAGACAGCGGAGAGGGCAAGAGAGATAAGCGAGAGAGGCGATACAAAAG